ATTTTTATTGCAAACTTAGTGAGGCAAAGTAAGCCATACAGTACAATGTGACAGCTAAAGGGTCATCTCTAAAAGGGCACCTATGAGAGAGATAGGTTGAAATTCTATTACAGATAGTTGGGTTCTCTAAGGTACAAAGGGACATAAATATTCTGTAGCTTGGCTTGATATAAGGCTGAAAAGGCTGTGGAATGATCCTATATGTTGATAATTTTCTCGTTAAGCTGCATAACTTAGCTACTTTGTAATATTTGCATGTAGTTATAATGTTGGAGACAGAATTGAATTGCTTAGGGTAATTTAGTAAGGCTGTTAGCTAGTGCGTACTTATTCAGGAGTAAACTTCACAGAACACAGCTGTATCTGTTTCTGTATAAGCAGGCAGAGGCTTAAAATGCATCTTTGTTTTACAATTCAATTGTCCACTTTCCCCACTAACTTAATTAGTTTTGTCATTTGATAAGAATGGTAAGTTATCATAGTTTCCAGACAACATTTAACCAGAGGTGGGTTGCTGCCAGTTCGGACTAGTTCGGGCAAACTGTATGCCCCGGCACTATCCCGTCCTATATTGCCGTGTTTTTGAAGCCATGCACATGCGTGGAAGGCCACGTGCATTCACATTTTTGGTGCTGGGCGAACGAGTTGTTACAACTGGCAGCAGCCCACCCCTGCATTTAACCTTGTTAAAGACATGAAGACCATTCACCATAAAATAGCTAAAAATGTGTGATAGCTGAATAAAATATAATTGAATCAGCATTTTTGCTTGCTCCTCAGTAAGAACTTTTTATGCGTATGAAACAGAAAACGAAGATTTCACATTTTACTGAAACAGACATCTCATGAGTTAAAAGTAAGATCCATGGAACAATTGTGATTAAATTCTACCAACTATCTTAGCAATATCCAGGATTCTAGGATGCCTAATTAACTAGTCAACATGATTTATGGAGCTAGAACTACCCAAGATTCAGACCCAAATGCCAAGGCAAACATATCTGGAAAACTGCCCGTTGGCAATATAAGACTAGACTTGGCCAAAATTACTGTTAGAGCTTTTTGGGTACAGCTCCCAAACCATTAGCTAAGAGAGGAAATAAGAATGGCTTGGTACCTAAAAGGATGATAAAAAGAGAGGAGGTATTTGTGAAGGTGAAGATATGGTTGGCTAAGAGGTAACGTTCCATAGTGTTAATTGGGGAAGATTATGGTTGGAATAGGAAATATCACTAAGCTAATGAAGATAAAAAGAGAGAAGCTTCTTTGGAAGTTAAACATTTCAAGGTGGAATGTACTTCCTGGCCAAAAAATAACAATGTGCAGATAATTAAAGGAAAAAGCTAGCAGGCCTGTGAAGAAAAAACTACAAAACAGACTTTAAAAACCATAAGCACATGATGCAGCATATTGTAAATGACAGTGAACAGGAAAAGGAGGAGAAAAACTTCCACACAGTTTGCAGATAGCAAATCAGTTACCTTATCTCAGGAAACAGCTTGTTAATAATATCTTAAATAGATATTTTATTATAGTGTACAGGGCATAGAAGTATGCTTAAAATCTGAACCAAATAGCTTTGGTAGCATTACTTAAAACCTTGTTCTCCTCCCTTCCCCAAGCTCCAACAACACCACCATCATCTACCACTGCAAAAAAACCTTCCTTCCTTCCTACTCACCTACCAGCCAATCTCCTTCCTTTCCTTCCTCTTTAAATTCTATTTAAACATACAGAGACTCTCTCTTTCTCTCTCTCAGTTAAAGGCACCATGTAAGAAAGTGCCAGACTGTTAAGTTCTACTTTTGCTTTAGGCAGCTTGTGAATTTGGGGTAATCACCTTCTCTGTCCTAGGAAGAAGGAAATATCAAACTACTTTTAAAAAATTTCCAGCAAAACTTCAAGGACTAGTTGTCAGGAATTAAGGCTGACTCAAAAACTATCTACATATATGCATTTTTCTGACAACGAAGAATAGGTTTTGCTTATTGCTCCAGTAAAAAATGTACACTAGTTTTAGAACATTTTGTTAAAGCAAAGCTATCATCTTTCAAATGTGAAAGTATTCTGTGATTGTGTCCTGATTTTCTGCTAATCAAAACTTTGTTGTGAGAATAAGAGATCCTCTCACATATGGAAGTAAATCAGGCAGGGAATACAGTCCTAGTTACAACAGTTCATTTAGTGACCCATTCAAAGTTACATCAGCACTGAAAAAAGTGATGTGACTGTTTTTCATACTTTTGACTCTTGCAGCATTCCCATAGTCACATGATCAAAATTCAGATGCTTGTCAACTGATTCATATTCATGATGGCTACAGTGCCCTGTGGTCATGTGATCAGTTTTTTCAAGCTTCCCACAAGCAAAGTCAGTGGGGAAGCCAGATTCATTTATCAACTAATTTAACTGCAGTGATTTAGCAACTGTGGCAAGAAAGGTTGTAAAATGGGGCAAAACTCACTTAACAACTGTGCAGCAACAGAAATTTTGGGCAAAACTGGGGTCATAAATCAAGGTCTTTCCTCTAAACATAAAATAACTATTGGATTCCTAAGGATAATCTTGCAAGAAAACTAGAGAGATTAGGAGTAGATCAGACAGTCACTGGGAAACAAGAGTGACTCGAAGGCATCCTTCCCTCACCAAAAAGTTTAGGATTAATGTAAAAAATCAAAATTTTTAAAAATCTCCTATATGTTGGGAAATTCTTGTCCAACATATACAACACAGTGATAGAATACTGAGTACAGAAATTAGGATTCACTTTTAAAAAAAAACACACAACACAATTGCCCTTGGTATGCAGACTGTTTGTAAGCTGTGAAACGGCTAAAAAAATGTACATGCAGCTGCACAGAAGCCAGTTACATTATCCATCACACTGGGTACATAGGTACCATCCAAGAGGATTACCAGATGAATGGGAAGAAGGGCATCTGTGAAATGTGAATGTTCATCAAGTCCTGAATGGACCAGGAGCTCCCTCCCCCTCAAGAAATAAAAGGAATTTTAGCCTCAGCTGAGGAGCAAGAGGCAGTGTGAGCTCTGGGCTTTTGTGTGCCGCAGCTTGAACTGTGATTGAAGGTGACTCAGCAAGCACAAACATGGCAAATTGTTGTGTCAAAGATGAGCCACATGGAGTCTGAGGATTAGAGGCCACAAAGAGGCCAAACGGAGACAGAGGATTAGAGCGTGAAAGACTCAAAAACCAGGGCAGTCAGGCAGATTCAAGATCCAGAGGTGTTTTCATAAACAGTGAAATGGCAGACATGAGCAGTGGATTAGTCACCATGTGGCTCCAATTGTTGCATGCCTCTAGATCATTTTTAATTGTTCACCTCAGCAACTTTATGATGCGTGGACTGACTCCCAGAATTCCATAGTCTGCCAGCCAGCATGCTGGCTGGGAATTTGGGCAGTTGGTATCTACCCATTGCTGGGTAGATTTAATATTGCTGGGACACAAACACTATTCTAGATTGAGAAGATTTAGGCCATTCCATCTGAAGTTTGTTAAACCATCAAAATGTTTATAATTTCTATAAAATCATTTATAATACAAATTTGCAAATTTACCATAATTTTGAGGTGATTAAAATAAGAGCCACACTCTCAATAAGAGAGTATGTACTGTACAGATAGCAACTCTGACAAGATTTTTCAATAAATGAAGGGGGAAATTTAGAAACTTAAAAAATGTAGAAATTTAATTAGTGAATATCTAAGGTTTATTTTTTGTTATGAGATTTCAAAATAAGAAACCAAGAATGGAAGATTAATTTTTTTTTTTTTTTGGCTTTGCAGTTGTTCTATTCATGGTTTAAATTGATTATGTTTTAGGTGTTATAACTATTGAGGGGGAAAAAGTATAAAGTTGAATATTGATCTTTAAATATGATGTATTAATGGTTGATTAATCTTTTTTGGTTTTCTAGTTAATGTACTAATGGTTAATTATAAAAATGTAGAAATTTAATTAGTGAATATCTAAGTTTTATTTTTTGTTATGAGATTTCAAAATATCTGAACTTTGAGAAAAATAGGAGGGGGAAAAATGTTTTTAGGTTTGAATGTTTAAGATTTGTTAATGGTTTTAAAATTCTTAGAGTTATTGGATTACATGTTACTTTGTGTTTATATAAAGGGAGGTTGATGAAATTGTAAAAGGGGAGTTAAGGGGTCTTGGGAGTTATTAAATCTTGTAGTTAGCTAGTTTATTTTAGCGAATGTTTGGTGAAATCTATGCCCTGTTTTTGTTCTGGGAAGTCGGGGGTGGGGGGTGGTAAGGAGGGGATGAAGATTGAGTTTACCAAATTGATTTTTTTTTCTTTTTTTCTGATGATAGTATGAATGATTGTTTATATTGTATACTTGTTTGATCAGAAAATAAAAACTTTTTTATTAAAAAAAAAAAGATTTTTCAATAATTTTCAGCTTTGAAGTTACTCAAGACTTGGTTAGAATTCACTTTCTGGACATACTACTGCTGAAAATATTGCAAAATATACTGAAAATATCACTAAAATTTAGGATTCAGCCTAGAGAGGTGTTTTGTGTCAGATGATACCTCAGAAATGATTGGCAAGCACAATGAAATTCTGAAGCTACTAAAGAAGAAATAAAATGAACAGAAAATATATGATGTTGGTTCCACATTTAGCATAGCTAGGAGCGAGATATAGGGCAAAAACTGTCTCTTTTGATCTACCAATTTTCTGTAGATCTCTATGAAATAAGTTCCAACAGTAAAGAATTTCTCAAAAAAAGCATTTCATTCTGACATACAGTTAGGAAAGTTCTTAGGTTTGCTGAAATTCAGTGATTAAGCATCACTGATCACACCTGAAAGGATCCTAAATATTTGACATGACCTTAAATGTCATTTTGTATGTCATTATGTTATATGCTGGCGGGTTCAAGAAAATTGATCCCTCTAAGACCAAAATATCTCTTTGCAATGGGTCTTTTATATTTTTTCTTATTATTATTCATTCCAGATTGGTCAATCTAATAAAAGATGCTGCAGATTGGTTGAACAACATACAGTATTAATTACACTTATCCTGATTTATAATTGGATAATTCCTCAAGCCATCCATACTTTTCTAAGAATGCTGTCTTGTGCATCCTGGTAAGTCCTTTAGGTCCATCTGTAAGAAGAAATTGGATGCTTCATATCTGTTGATTTTGGCAATTAGAAGTGAAACTCTGACATATTTAATTATTTCAGTGGATGAATCTTTTGAAATTGCCTAGTTGCATGCTGAAACAAGGAAATTTTTACCAGACTATCCTAATTTGTATGACGCAAAAATTGCCAATCATTCAATACTGTTGGCAATAACTGTATCTGAAAAAAAGAGCTATAAATTGAGATTCTTTAAAATAATTTCCTAATACATTATAACAGAGCTGCCAAAAAAATTAATTGTGTAAAGTTCATGTTCAGCTACTGTTTAACAGCTCTACCCAGTCTGGAGCTAGAAATGAAGATTGTCAGGTTGTCATCAGTTCAAACTGCCAGAACCAGCTGTTGGGTAACCAAAGATATAGTACTTTGTGTTTTCTTCTTTTGTGAAGTATTGCTTATTCTTTATTGTCAGGTTTCCTGGGAAGGTTAGACATTTCTTAGGGAAGAAAAGAAGGACACACTGGAGCATAATCAAAATACAGAGATATTAGAAACAGTTTCTATGTATGGTGGCACCCAAAGCCAGAACATTCAAGAAATAAAAGTGCACTGAATAATCATTGGCTCCTGAGGTATATCCTGAAATCTGTTACATATGCAATATTTCAGTAAGGGGACAAACTTGATTGTAAGTCGTCTTCTTCTTCTTCTTCTTCTTCTTCTTCTTCTTCTTCTTCTTCTTCCTTTCTTCTTTTCTTCTTCTTCTTCTTCTTCTTCTTCTTCTTCTTCTTCTTCTTCTTTTGTCATCAGACATTGGCGATCCTGTTGCCGATCCTATTTTTATCAATAGCCGCACGAAAAAGTGCTGCTGAGTTTTGTCCAAACCAGTCCCTTAGATTTTGAAGCCATGATGTTCTTCTTTTGCTTCTTTTGCTTGTACCTCGTTTGCCTGGAGGATTAAGTGAAGTATGCTGTATTTTTGCAGGTGTCGCATCACGTGTCCAAAATATTCTAACTTTTGCTTTTTAATGGTTTTGATGATTTCCCTTGGCTTTTCCAGGTGGCTTATCACTTCCACATTTCTGATTTTGTCAACCCAGTTTATGTATATGTAACAGCCATCTGTAAACCCACATTTCAAATGCTTCTAGTCTCTTCAAGTGGTTTTCTGTCAGAGACCAACTCTCTAGTCCATAGAGAAGGATAGAAAAGATGTAACATCTGACAAGCCTCATTTTCAATTTTAGGCTTATATTGTGACTGCAGAAGACCTTTTTCATTTTGAAGAATGCTGTTCGAGCTTTCTCTATCCTTGTCTTTACTTCAGTGGTCGTGTCACAGCTTTCATGTAAATTAGAACTGAGGTACGTGATCCTTTCAACTTTTTCTGAAATTTATGGGTGGTAAATTAATGGTAAGGCTTAGTAGTTCTTACTTCTTATTTATTACTTGAATATACTTCTTGATTTGAAAACTACTCTCATAGTTATTTATTTATTGTTACATTTATATCCTGCTTTTTCTTTGGATCTCAGAGTCTCCTTTTGGTTCTTCTCCCCTCTATAATAACCTAGTGAGTTATACTGAGAAAGAATAGTTGGCCCCAAACTTTACTTTTACTTTAACTTGCTTGAATCTTGCTAATCACACCAACAGGAAAACCTAAGCCATTATAAACTGGTTGAAATATATTTGCACAGGGCTGATAATATGTTTGTTCTCCAGGTGAGTTTTTAGTCTGTTGGTAAGAGAGTCAGCGCCACTGATGGCATTCTATTTTTCATTTTTCAGTAAGGACTTTGGGCCCCCTATTCATGGTTCAAGAAAATAATTTTAATAGAGAAAAGAAGTTGAGCTGATGTTCTTCCCTTTCTTTTTATCAGCACTGGGCCCAGTCAAGTAAAATATACATGTGGCACATCATCACTTTTTTTCTGCTTGGAAAATCTGGATTTCCTAGGTTTTTGCTACTTAATCCTATTCATATTTAAGTATGATAGAACTCTGCTATCTTGTGACTCTCATACTTTTTATTCTAGATCAGGATGAATTAGAATTAGAAACACAGCAATTCTGAGAAACAGAGTCTTTAAAAAAAAATAATCTGTAAATATGTGCTGGCTGCAAGATTTACAAAGCCAGGAATTTCTTTTCTTATGATGCATCTGTTATAGGAATTACTGACAGAGCACTTGTTTTTACAGTGCCTTTTACATAGCTTCAGGTTTATTATACCAACCTGGCTATGCAGATGAGAGCCACGTGAAAGCAATTCTTCTGGCATAACACAAGAAAGAAAACTAGTTCCTCTATATTTATTAATGACTTTATTACTTCTGTAAACCTATGCCATAGTTTGTAAGATATTACAGCTTGTGTCATTGAGTAATATCATATGCATGAATGATCCATCTGTTCTGTCCCCGTCTCACACACGCACACAAACAGATAGTCAGGGGTTAAATAAAACTGGCAGACAACAAATTCTTTCGATAAGAGGCTTGGCAGCAACCCAGTAGCTGCTTGCCAAGAACTTTAGTCATAGAGGGAGGGGTTGTTCCTCCGACAGATAAACCCAAACAAGATACACACAGTTCAAGAATTGTCAAGTCCAGTCCATATTAAATCCAAGGCAGATAACGTTGTTTCAAAGATACAATGTGACTTGCTAGTAGTTTGTTTTGTCCGTCACAGAGTCTGAATGGCCACCTCACCCCCTTTTATCCCCTGTGGGGTGTGGTCCAGTGACTCAGCTTAATCTCTGGCACGCCTCCTCTTCTGCTGCGTGCGCCCGTCTCTCCGATGCTGGCGTGGATCCAGCCAAGACTTATCTCCGTCACTGTTCGACTGTGAGGAGATACCTGGCTCCTGGCCAATCTCTTCTACGGGAGACACCTGAGGCATTGCCAGAGAGGAGGGTCTGGAGAGGGAGGCCTGGCCAACTCCTCTCCTTCATGTTCGGAGCCTTCTCCTTCCCGATAACACCGGCTCAGGTAATGGAGCCACAACATCATCAGACATCTGAAACAGAGATAGAACTTTTGTATTAGCTCATATTTATCCAAGACAATAATTTATAGTGAACTCAGTTTATATGTGACACCAATCATTGCTAGCAACCAAGTAATCATGACATTCATGTGAGTGTATCATTTCTTGTAGTATGATATCTAAAAAAAACATGGCTACTTATTTAAATCTCCTTTCACTGTATAAAGCAAAATGGATTATATATATATATATATATATATATATATATCTCAAGAATGTTGGAAATGCTTGTTTGCAGTTCATAATCAGCAGACAAATTATTATACCAGGGCCTTGTTTTCTTTAGCGAAATTTCTGGTCTTTTAATGCAGATATCATCCTGTTTTGATACAGAAATAAATATGTTTCAGTTTGCAAATGAAGAACATGATTAATATGATGCTGAAACAAAATAGTGCACTATATGTAAGTTGAATGAGCTTTATATGTCTCCTCTTGGTTATTCTGGAAGGGAGAAGAATGCTGTTACTTTAGCAACTGCAATAAAATATGGTACTTGTGTTCACAGCTGCTTCTGCATCATTGCCCATTGCCCAATCTCTTTCTATTCACATCTAGAATGTCTCCCAGAAGAAATAAATATCATCCTGTAGAATTCCTTCAGGAGGACCAGACATCAGTTAAATAGAATCTTTTACATTTCCAGAAACAGAATCTTCATGTTGCTGTCATTTCATTTTTACTAAAATATCAAGAGAATGAGCAGTCTTACAGCGTTTTAATAGGGACTACGCAGAAAGGCAATTTCTTTCAGAATTTCAATGAGCTATAGGCCAACATAATCTGTAGAGGTTGGAGGGCTGAATATAAACAGAGTACATATTTTAAATACAATTTTGAAGAATATCCCCCATCTATTTCTATATTTTGCGAGTTCCATAAAGCAAATTCTAATTCTTTTCTCTGTTGGAGCCATACTAAGAATGTGTTTTGATCATGATATTCTGTCATGGTGAGATACCCCATTATTGTTGTATGTTTTATAGCCATCTTAATTTGTCTTAAAACCCAACAGATGTATTTGATAGAGATGGGAAATATAAAGCACCTATGATTAAAGGGCAGTTTAGCTTCATGGCCACAAATTAAACTCTCTGTGTAGGAAAATATTAGAAGCTGCCTTATGCCAAATCAGTTTGTTTCTTTTCTTCAGTATTGTCCATCTTGACTGGCACTAATTTTCTTGACTCGTCAACAGTATTTCTTCTCAACCCAAGACCTGCTCCAAAGAAAATTTCTGACTTAAAATGCAAAACTTCTTACAATCATAATTGTAACAGGTTTTGATAAACAGTCAAATTCCAAATTCCTTTGGCATATAGTTAACACATTACATAAACCTTTGAAGATTTTCCTATAAATGTAGTTATATATGCTAATACACTATCCCAAAAAGATACCAAATAATCACACAAACATTTCATTAACATATTTAATGTGATCTGCAACAATGTATAATATTATCAGTTTGGTGAACTACTGCTATTGCTTTCGTCAAGAGTTTCTGTCAAATCTACAAATAAAATCTGGGTAAAATGTATAGCTTGAAAGTCATGATGGCAGAATCTGCACACAAATACAGAATTATTATTCCTCAATGGCTTTTCTAGAAATGAAAAGGATGACAGTTATTAAAAATTGACTCCCAGTTTTTCTCAGAAGACAACTGTTGTTTGGCCTGCAATGGACAATTGAAATTATAAACTAGAAAAAACCATATAAACTATGTAAAAGATAAGGGATATTTTTTTTAATTTTTTAATTTTTTTTAAAATTTGATTTATATGCCGTCCTTCTCTGGAGACTCAGGGCGGCTTACAATGCGTTAAGCAATAGCCTTCATATGCCACCCTTCTCTGGAGACTCAGGGCGGCTTACAATGCGTTAAGCAATAGCCTTTGTATATTTATACAAAGTCAACCTATTGCCCCCACAAACTGGGTCCTCAATTTACCTATCTTAGAAAGGATGGAAGGCTGAGTCAACCTTGAGCCTGGGGAGGTTCAAACTAGCAGTAATTGCAGGAAGCTGAATGATAATAACAGGCTATTAGTCTGCTGCGCCACCAGGTTCTTTACACTTATATTATAAGTGTAAGCTCCATTATAATACTTTCCCCTCCCTCCTATTTATTTATACAATCAATTTTTGAGGCCTCAAATCTGGGCAACCTATACATAAGAAGAATACATGGAAAAGGATACACAATTTATTGGGAGCCAAGGACACTAACAATGAAGCTTTCAAAATGTAACAGAACTAGACAATCACCCCTCCCCAAAACTTGGAGAATTTTATTTTAAACTACTCAGATGAGGTAATATTATCGATCCCTTAGAATATGGTTAAGTAAACTACATTTTTAAAGCTACTGCCCTCAGAGCTTCTCCAAAATTTGCTGCTGAACAGTAGTCTTAATAGGAAAGATGACCCAAAATATTTCAATAAATGGGGGGAAAAAAGAAAGAAAGAATGGAAATGGAGTTTAATTTTAGTTAAAGCTACATCAGATTTAAATTTTGGCCTGGTTCTGCTTGCCCCAGTAGATACAGCCAGTGGTGGGATTCAGCCAGTTCTCACCACTTCGGGAGAACCGGTTGTTAACTTTCTGAGCAGTTTGGTGAACTGGCTGTTGAAAGAAATCATTAGAGCAGAGAACTGGTTGCTAAATTACTTGAATCCCACCACTGGATACAGCACATGGTTAACTATCTCTGTACTTAAAAGTTAAGCAGGTCCAGTCATGCCTAGTAATTGGATGGAAGCCCTCAGGAAATACCAAGGTTATAAGTTTGACTGGGAAGGTTGAAAAACATTAACTAAAGAAGACAGTGTGCATGCTATTGCCAGGAAAACTATACTGATATATACATGAAGAGGCCAGGAGTTGAATTTGATTCAAAAGAGACTATTTTAACCGATTCTGTCTAAGTGCTTGTTGTCAAGAAATATACTTTTGGCATTTGACTACCTAACTTTGACTCAAATGTTAAATTCAAAACTAAGTCAAAAGAAAGTTATATATTCCCATCATAAAACAGAGTGACATTTTTTTATGGTTTGAAACCTAATTTCAAAAATCCTAAGTATATCATCATATCAGATCTACTGAACTTAATTTAAGGTTAGTGACAAAACATCAGATTCAGCAAGTTTTTAATCTCATTCAGGACTCTGCTGTTCTGTAATTTTTCCAAGAAAATCTCTCTTAGATCCTAAATGCTCAAAATGCCATCATCAGTAGTACCATCATACCACCACCATCAACATGTGAATCATTTTCACAATTGTTTTGTTAATACTAAGAATGGAAAAGAATGGGTTCTGCAAGAATAAATAAAAATGAAATCCAGACAGCTACGAGGAAAGCTGAAATATTTATTCTCAAAAGCAAAGAAGTTTGCCTTGGGGCAGTTGCAGAGAAAATGGGTACAGAGATACTGTTTTATAGGGGAGCTTGTCTAGGGTGTGGTAATGTGTATGTGCCAGGGGTGGGTTCTACTTACCTTTACCACCGGTTCGCAATGGGAGTGGTTCGCTTCGATCATGTGCGCTTCAGTGCAGCACAGAAGCTTCTGCGCATGTGCAGAACATCCCTTATGATGTCCAGGTGGGTGGGCGGAGCCTCCCGTCACTTTTATTACCAGTTTGCAAGAACTGGACAGAACCGGGAGCAACCCACCATTGGTATATGCTGATTGCTGAGTTGGTATGTGAGGTGTGTATGTCTGTGTATGTAGGTACATGTCATCTATGATGTTTTTTCTTGTAAACATGCAGTTCCATTGGAAGACCATTTTAATTAATTCCATTTGTGTTTACAGACCTTCTCCTTTGATATGTGGATTAGGTCTGGGTAACTTATTTGGAGGTTTGAGGAAGTTGAGTAAAAGATTTTTCCCCATTTGTGCTTTTTATTTGATTAACTTAGTTTCAGCTTGACTGTATTATCTAGCAGAGATGCCCACTCTCAGTCTATTGTGGATTTTGTTAATATTTAAGGGAAGATGGATACCGATAAGGAATAAATATATTTTGATATAAAATTTTACACATACATTTCAGGTGTCCTTAGAATACAGCTCTTATTATATTCAACTTGCTATCCAGTGACATCATTGTTTTAAATGATTGGTATTATATTCAGGAAATAACAAATTGGAAGAGCTGAGGTAAAGTAATTATACAATACTTATATTTTGCTAAACTGGTAATATAAGTGAACATTTCATGTTTTAAGACTTAAAGACTTGTCTGGAAAAGAATTGCTCTAAAATTTACAGTTTAAAATATTGTAGCAGTATTTTATTATTTCTCAACCAAAATGTTTCTTCTACTATGGATTTTTTCTCATAGTAATATGCTTAGTCAATATCTGAGAATCCCGCATATGTAAAGTTTGAACTTCAATTTTAAGCATGCAAAAATGTACTTTTGTGTTGTTAGTGTGTGTTCCTCTCATTATTTGTCAATGGAAATGACAATATCAGATGATAATTGCCAAGGTAAATAGTAATAGGAACAACTGAAGCTCAGCGATTCCTATAAAAACATCAATAATATCTAACAGAGTACTGAGAAAGGTTTAATCTGCTGACTCAGAAACTACATTTCAAATGTTATGATGAGTTGTTAACAGTGAATAGTGTTGGATTTAAAATATGTTTTAAAATGTACTTTATTATTTAACCATAGTTTAGAAACAGATAAGCTGTAATTTCTCTGCCTCTAAACTTTCAGATTTATTGCTCCTGTATTCTAAAATAGGCATTAAGTAAAAATAATTTTCAAGAATAAATGATGCCTTTTTTTGTTTGCCGTAATTGTTGGCCATGACATATTTAAAGCTATTTAAATGTTTTCATGATCTGTCAGAATGCATTAGTAAAAAGGATCAGATTGTACTGAAGCTCTTTGGGAGAGATTGGTGGCCTAGAAATGTAACAGTAACAGAGTTACTGTTACTGTTATACTATCTTTGAGACCGCCTTCTACCATATAGCTCCCAGTGACCGGTAAGATCCCACAGAGTCGGTCTCCTCTGGGTCCCGTCAGCTAAACAATGTTGGCTGGCGGGCCTGCGGGGGAGGGCCTTCTCTGTGGATGCCCTGGCTCTCTGGAACCAATTACTTCCTGAGCTCCAGACCGCCCCCACCCTATTGGCCTTCCACAAAGTGGTGAAGACCTGGCTCTTCCAGCAGACCTGGGGCCGTTGATCTTGTTATAATGATCTTGCAAGACCCGGCCACGAATTGGAGTGCATGTGTTTTAACGTTTTTAAAGTTTTTAATGTTTTAATGTTTTTCTTTTTAACATTTTTTTATGGAATTGTTCGCATTGTTTTATTCTTTGTTCTAAGCCGCCCAGAGTCCCTTGGGAGTTGGGTGGCATAGAAATGCGACAAAATAATAAAATAATAAATAAGTTGGAAGGGACTTTGGAGGTCATCTAGTCCAACCACCTGCTCACCCAGGAGACCTATACTAGGAATTTGAACCACTGAATGGCCAACCTTTCTGATTGACAAGCTCAGTGTCATATATATATTCTTACTTCTTCGTAGGGTTTATGTGTGTTTTTCTTCTAGCCAGGTTTTCCCTACGTAGGGAAAACCTGGCTAGAAGAAAAACATATATATATATATAAGCTGAGCACAACCAAGCCCCCACCCAAACAGAACACACCCCCAGCCAATCAGAGCACAACCAACCCCCCCTCCAATCAGAGCACAGCCAAGCCCCTAACCAATCAGAACACACCTCCACCCAATCAGAACACAGCCAAGTTCCCACCCAATCAGCTCACACCCCCACTAGCAGTTAAAAGGAAGAGACAGCTGCGATCTCACATTGCTCCTGGAAGCACGAAGCCGAGAACACCAGCCTGAAGATGACGAATGAGACTTCGTCGAAACGTCGCCAAGACACTTCCAATTTTACGTGAGAGAAGACCCGAATAACCAAAGACCTACATATATATATATATATATATATATATATATATATATATATATATATATAAAATGTTATCTAATTCTGGGTTTTATTTAATTGACCAAACTAAGTAATAATTTTAATTAGCAATTTTATGATGTTTGTGTATCTATATTTTTCTTGACTGTACAACGCCTTGAGTCCTACGGGAGAAAGGCGGTATAGAAATATAATAAATAAATAAATAAATAAATATGTGAACACATATATAAACAAATAAATATAGATAAAATAAATATTTAAGAGCAATAAATATCTAAGAATGTATCAATATCTTTAATTAAATTAAGATCACTTGAACCCTAGATGTTACTCTCGCGAATGGAACATCTGCAATGTTACATATCTAGAACTGTAAACTCTTGAAAATAAAGAGAGAAAGCAAAAGGAACACCACTGATTTCTACCCCTCAAACAAATCTTGATAATTTTTCCCTAAATCTATATTTACTAAGTAATTATTATATTTCATTGTGTTCTTTGCATCTATTTAGTTATGCATGCTTGCTAAATTATTTATTTAATTCTGGGGAGTATAACTACTTTTATGTTACCCCACAGTCATATTTCCAGAGTACTTTACAGCTACAGTAACACCTCTCTCCCCACAATATGGGAATATTTTCCACATGTGGGAAAACTAACAACTACATAATAAGAAAAGCACCAAAAGCCAGGATACAGAATTAAAATTGCTTCCAAAAACACTTGGGATTTTTTTTTATACCTTCTTTGTCAAGCAGAGAAAAGGAAAAGAAAAAGAAGTCAGGCAAAATTGGCTGGGAAAACATTCAGCAGCAGGATGCCACCATTGGAAACCCTTCAGCTTCCATTTCCAAAGGACATTATGAAATAAATTCTAACTTTTTGTATGTGCATTATGATATTGCACTTAGATAGATAAAGGGTGGAGTTCGCATTCTGACATTGGGACAGTTCGCTTGTTTTACTCACTTCCTGCAGATGCCTATAGTAGCTATGTCTTTTTCCTGGTTACCATGGGAATTTGAAAAGAAATGTAGTTGCTTTACTATGAGCTGATTCATTAACTGTACAGCTATAGTGCAATGGAGTCTAACTAAGGTGATTGCACTTAGTGAATTTAGCAAAACAGGAAAACATGGGAAGTATGAATGGATGCTGAAAGATTACTGGCTGAATGTAAAAATATAATGAATAAAGAGTTATAATAAAACATACAATATATAAGAAGAAAGGGGTATAAAATTAAAGAAGTGTTGTATATATATACCGGTAGTTTATGAATATAGTTGGTGAAGTAAAAAAACAAAAGACAAAATATGAACAGTATATGGATGTGGCACCAAGAATTTATATGTGATGTTGGTGTCAGATAGTTTTAGCTAGGTTTCCTTTTTTATCTCATACTTTTAACTATTTTATTTTATTTTATTATTTTATTTTATTTTATAGTACATGAAAAGGATATGAATAAAAGAAAACATTAGGACAGGGACGGTAGGCATGCTGGTGCACTTATGCATGCCCTTTACAGACCTCTTAGGAATGGGGTGAGGTCTACAGTAGACAGTCTAAGGTTAAAGTTTGGGAATTTGGGGAAGAAACCACAGAGTCAGGTAGTGAATTCCAGGCACTGACAACTCTGTTACTGACATCGTATTTTCTGCAATCTAGTTTGGATTGGTTTACCATGAGTTTGTATCTATTGTGTGCTCTTGTATTGTTTTGGTTGAAGCTGAAGTATTCATTGGCTGGTAGAACATTGTAGCAGATGATTTTATGTACTGTGCTTAGGTCAAAATAATAATACTAAATAAATAATAATAATAAAAAAATAAAATAAAAAAATGATCAAAACTTCTTTTGCTTATTCTTATTTTTTCATCTGCTATGCATAATGGGTAGTGATATATATATTTCTTTATCAGCGAAATATAAATTTGGTATAAAATGGTTTGTCCTGAATGCGACTGCTTGAGGGCTCCTGGATTGGAGCTGAAAGGCGAAAGGGATGCAGTATGCTCCCTCCCACATCACATGCTGGGGTAGACCAGGTGTCTCGATAGAAAAGCACTTAATCTCTCCCCTGGCTCAAGCTGATGAAGGGAGAACTTGTGATTCAGAGGTTAATACAACTGCCTAACATGCAGGCAGCCCAAGTTCGAATCCAAGTAAGGATATGACTAGCTGATGAGAGTTAAATAGCTTGAAATAGATCTATACTAGTCTCCCTTTATTTCTTTATCAGTGAAATATAAATACAAATATAAATACAGTGAAATATAAATAAATATAAATTTATGTATGTACAGTATGTATGTAGTCCCTTATCCTAGGGAGTTAGCGACATATCTTTCAGATCTAAGAAAAACTTTTAAATACAAGTTTCATTGGAATGAATAGTTACTGCCATGAAATTAAAAATATTACAAACTAACACAAAATAAGAAAAAGAAAAAAAAGAAAAGAAAAAAAATGAAAGAGAAAAGTCCATGAAAGGAAAAAAGAGTAAAAGAAAAAAAAAGAAAAGAAAAAAGATACAAAGAAATAGTTCTTATATTTTTGACAACAGTCATAATTATAAATCTGCATTTTATTCTATGATTACAGTTTAACTTTTTTCTTCTTATAATCTATCCTGCCTAGGCATCAAAACCATAAATCATAAGTTCATTTTTTTCATTTTTACACAAAAACTCCATAAGGGGTTTCCAGTCAGCAATAAATGTAGATATTGTCTTTTCTTAGATCAAAGAAGTCAATTTAACCATCCGCTGTGGAATGTCTTTTAATTGTATTGATCATTTTAAAATCTTCATATTCATTTACTTATTTTTCAGTTTTTATCTGAAACACATCTAAGTCCCAACAATCCAAGTCACCAGCTCTCTGCAAGGAGTATAAATCCTTCCATTCCACACCATCCAGTCAGAGCTGAAGAAGCTTCTTGGATGAGAAGCGAAACTTCTTCAAAGAAAAACCAGAAAGTCGAATTGCCTCTTGAAAAAGCACCGTTGGGACAACCATGACCTGGATGACTGAGAATCTCCATAGACAAACACATCTAAGGAATTAAAATATTATAAGTATAAAACTATAAGAGGAATAACTCATAATAAATAGTTTTTATCCAAAATAAGTGTCAAACTTAAGTTGGGGTTGAAGGCCTTGTTAAATAGGGTTGCACATTGTGCTTTAGAACACTGCATTCTAGTATCCTTCCACACAGAGAACTGTCTATATATAAGTATATACAATGATTTGTTTTAAAAAAGATTAAAAGATTATTGCATGGCAAATGAAATTTTATGTTCTAGTTCCAAATCCAGTATTGACCTATCATTCTAATTCTGCCAGAAAAACAATAGTAAAATAGTAATTATTTATTCTATAGCTATAATTCAGGGAATGTAGACAAAGAAGCTTATTCATCATATTTTGTACAGTTGTCCCGATTTATGGAAAAAACTCCATTATACAGCATAGTGTGCTCCAATAACGTACAAGGCAGGAAAGGTGGGTGGACTCTACCCTTCAAATTAAAAAGTGAATTTCAGATGGTAAATCTAACAAGAATGCATGTAGTGGAAATACAACTGCTTGTTTTCTTATCTTTTTTAGTGTCTGGAATGAACTCAGATATAAACAGATGAACCCTTATATATAGTATGAACATCCTTTAAAATAAGGTTTTATTATTTTTAGCTTCCCCTACCTAGAAATTTCTTTATAATATTTACATAAAAAGGGAGTAGCTTTCCTTTCAAATCCAAATTTACCCTACATAAAATATTCTCATTTTCACACATACATTATATAAGCAAAAGGTCTTAGTTCTTTACATCCCACAAGATAATAAACTAATATCAAATGTGCAAACTCTTTCTGGGAGCAGATCTTATGTGTTGGGAATTACCACATATAATCAAATACCGGATGACTCATGTTTCCTGGCTTTAACTTAAGGAAAAAGCATACATTACTATATGTCAATCTGCTCAAGTAAATTTTATACAGATTAAGTTAAATTATGTGGCATAATTTGTTTTATGTAACTGTGGAGATATTTGAAATCAAGACATCTGTCAAAAAGATATTTTAAGGATACAATGACTTGGATAAGACAGCGTACAATTTTACATGACTACATTGTGGTCTCCCTTTTCATTCTGCCTTCTAGGTCACAAGTTCACCAAAAATAAAATGAAATATTTCAATTCAAATAGTGTTGCTGCTCAATTCTAATCAAGGACTTACAAGTACAACAATTCATTTAGTGATGGTTCCAAGTTACAACTACACTGAAAAATGTGACGTATGACTGCTTTTCACAGTTACAATCTTTGCAGCATCCCCATGATCAAGTGATCAAAATTCAAATGCTTGGCAACTGATTCATATTTATGACCGTTGCTGGGTCCCAAAATCATGTGATCACCTTTTGGGACCTTCTGACAAGTAAAGTCAATAGGGAAGCCAGATTCACTTAACAACCAGGTTACTAATTTATGAACTGCAGTGATTCACTTAACAATGGTGGCAAAAAAGGCAAAAAGGTAAAAGGGGGCAAAACTCACTTAACAAATGTCTCACTTAACAACAGAAATTTTGGGCTCAATTGTGGTTGGAAGTCGAGGACTACCTGTAATTGTATTGTAAATTGTGTAACTTTTCCACTGTTCCTTTCTTAGGTTCCTAATATTTGCTTCATCTTGAGAGCAAAAGAAAGTAAGCAAAAGAAAGTAAGAAAACCTGCCAAATCAAACCAAAGGATATCTAATCCAGAATTGTGTTTGGGGATTGTTATGTGTGTTGGACCTGGTCTTTGGGTGTTCAGTGAATTTCATTATATGGGTATACTGTGTATACCCATACAATGACAATAAAGTTATTATTTTTTATAATATAAAAATTCATATTTAAATAAAAAATCATTATTTATTCATTAATAAAAATTCATTATTATTTTTTATACTATAAAAATTCATCTTTAATTAAGATGAAAAGATTGTGCACTGTAGATCAAGCGATGAAAAGAAATAGTCAAATACAAATGCTATTTTTATTTCACAAGATTTGCTTTCCCCCCTCCCTCAACAGAGTTTTATATACAAAGAAAAATATAGTGCATTATACTATGTTTAATGATGCAAATGCAGTCCCGGTTAGAAGGAAACCCACTCTTTTCTCGGATGTGCTCAATTAGGTTTAGATAGCAGTGTCACAAGTATGTGAGCAAGGTAGATTGTATTGCTACATCAACAGAAATAAAATTTCCAACTGATTGGAACTAATTGTCCCCTTTCTTCATTAGATCGCACCTTATATCTACTTTTGAGCTTTACAACTTTAAGAGTTGTAAAGCAATTCAGAAAAAGAGAATAAGGATGATCAGGTTTCTAGAAATGCAGTCTTACAAAGACAGGATGAAGGAACTGCAAATGTTTAATTTTGGAACTAGAAGATTGAGTGTGCTGGGGGTGGGTGGGGAATATAATAATGTTTTTCAAATACCTGAAAAAAATCCCACACAGAAGGCAAGATCTGTTCTCTATCATCACAGAGGGCAGGACCCTGAACAATGGTTTTATATTACAGGAGTGCAAATTCCAGATGAATGTTAAGAAAAATCTTCTAACAATAACAGTTTGACGATGGAACCAGTTACACAGAGGGGTGGTGGGACCCCCTTTTTTAAAAAAATTATTCAGCGATTGATCAATCATCTGTTTTGAATGCTGCAATTGCAATTGTTTGAGGAGTAGGAAGTTACATTTGATCCGAACAATCCCATCAAAGCCTATAATTCTTTCATTTCACTAAAAGACCTTGAAACTTTCCAATGAAACTTTCGCATGAACATCTATGAGAGAAACACTATCGGAAAGGCATCTAATATTAGAGTGATAGGGTATATTTTTTCTATGAATAAGCTCCATGAATGCCTAAACATATTATACACCCAGGAAACATGTTTAGAATTGCCCAGTGAATGTTCAAGGCCACAGAAAAGGAAACAATATACTGTTTTTTTCCCTTTATCGGTGTCTATTACATTGATAGTATCTGTATATAGTAAGATGGCATAATTGTCATTTTAGAACATCATAGCTCACAGCAAAATTGACAGAATGAGATATAGAAAAGAGCTGAAAATGTATCTTTAATCACCCTGTGTTGTAGATCCAGATATAAGGTACTAAATATTTTTTTTCCATAATTCAATTTATTTTGCTTCAGTGACTCTTTACATGACAGTCACATATTTTAAATATGTAGGGGAAACAAGGAAGATCAGTATATTTTATTGGACATATCTTTGATGAAGTTTATTATTTCAAACTATGTGATGGTGAGGTCTGTTGCTCCTAATGGTGCCACTGAATACTGCCCGACTGCCAGGGGTGGTTCAACTTACCTTTACTACCGGTTCGCAATGGTATCATGCGCATGCGTTTATTTCAGTCTCGCCTTACTTCTGTGCATGTGCAGGTCACCGATGATGACATCCGTGGTTGTGAGTGGGGCCTCCCGCCGGTTTTACTACCGGTTCTTGTGAACTGGTCCGAACTGGGGGCAACCCACCACTGCCATCTGCCATGGTGGTGCTGAGCTGAACACAGCCCAAAATGATGTCAGGCCCAGGCGATAAGCCAGTTTGGTCAATTTTTTTGATTGCAAGCTATGGATCTACAGCCGACTCCGTCAAAATGCAGACATGACCTGCATGCTGAGTTTGATCATGTAAAATGGTGTTTGTTGGTCAAAAAAGCAGACCCTGCTCCTGTGAGAAAAATGCTAGGAAGATGATTATGATGATTATTATTTCAGACTATGTATGGAGGTCAATTGTTCTTGCATATCAACAATCTTATTGCATGTAAAAAATTAGTGGATTTAGTCATAATAATTTAGCTATTATAGTTATATCTCTCTTTTTCTTTTTCCAGGCACTCAAGACAATGAACACAATGCTCCACTCTTCCTCATTTTATCATCAAAATGACCTCCCCCTAAGATACTTTAAACTAAGAGAGATAAGTATTGCTATCATCTATGTCACCTAACAAGGTAGGTCCTTCTCCACAATCCTTAATCTTTTTGATAAAGTCAATAATATCAACACATTTTTTTTAAAAGAAAACCCTTATCTTTCTGCCTGTTATTTGATTCTCACTCCTTTTAAAAAAACCTGCTATTTCTCCCAATTCCCTCAAACAACTTAATATATTTTAAAAATAAAGATACACAGAGTTGAACAGTATCACGTTCAACCTCACCTAAAACCTCAACTACATTTTCCAAAAATATAGTTCACGTTTCCCTTTTCCGACTCTTTTCATATGTGTTCAAAACTTTTATTTGCAAAATTGATGTCATAACATTACAGTTGTTCATAGTAAGATTTTCCTCACCAATCTCAGTCCTGATATTTATTTTCTCTGGTTCACAGCACATTCTGTTGTCTCAACATTTCATTTAGTGGAATCAAACTTGAAGAACAAATAAAGATATCAGACATGAAGTATAGCTAAAAGGCAGTGATGAAAGAACAGCAAGACTATTGCATCTTTTCAGCTTTGGATTCAGTGAGACTATAAATGACAAGTGCTCTGCTCTGAACATTTATTTCTGTAATTTAAGATAACAGAATGTAAAAAAAAGTATGTCTGATTCAGTGGTCATATATATGCTTTCCAAAATGTATACACTCCATTGAATAAGATGTTATTGTTAGTTAATGTTGCTATTTAATGACTTGTCCAATTGCAAATGAAATACAGTTGTTTACAATATCAGGATCTTAATCTTGGCCAGTGAGGAATTAACAATGCATTACTTGAAATAGGAAATGAACTGGGAGTTTCTCAATGGAACACAGAATCATCCATGAACTATTGATATAAGTCAAATAAAACAAAAATAACAATATGAAAACGGTAATAAACATACATCATTTGGTCTTATATTATATTTCACTCCATTATACGGAATGCTGGATCTTGAATAAGATCTTGCCTGATTTGCAAATCAGATCTTGCCTGATTTGTAGACCAATACAAATCCACAAAAAAGCTGCTGAATATTTCAAATTCTTTTATAGTTATGATTTCATGTTTTTCTATTAAATAAGTTTTCATCACAAAAGATGAATAAATATGCCAAAAAACAAAGGAGCAAATATATTTATGTTTAAGAAAGTTTGCAGTACATTGCAGAAAGTTTTAAATGACATTGCTTTTATAATCTTACAATAAAAGCTGGGGAAACACTAGAATCCTTGAAAGATTTGCCAAATATATGAAAATTAAAATGACAAAAATAACAGTCAATTGTATTAAATATCAAGTGGTTATATGTTTATTTAAAAAAAACCCAGTTTTCAAGGCAATTCATTTGCAGTTCAGGCATGCATTTATGTATGTATATATGTATTGGGATGAAATTCAGCTGGTTCTATCTGAATCGGGTGAACTGGTAGCGGCGGCTGCGGGAGACTCTGCCTACCCATGCGGACATCATGACACTGCTTTTTTGCAATGATTTTAAGACTCTGCACATGCGCAGAAGGCTTTGAGCATGTGCAGATGATGGCAAGCACACATTTGCAAACCGGTAGAGAAGGTAAGTGAATTTCACTTTGTTTGAACTGCAAATGAAAATTCAAAAGCTATGTTTATCAGGACAATCAACGAAAGCAAATCAGAATCCACAGAAATACTTGTCACATAGTAAAGACTATTTTTGCATCACTTTCAGTAATCCTACAATACAGATATTGTATTGTATACAATATTTAACATGTCTTCTTCTGAATATGTTGGAGTATCATTTCTACAATTCCCAACCAACATGGAACGGTGTTGCCTGATTTACAATTTATCACAGTTTTAACAGCAATCGTTGAGATTTTTTTTGAAAGTACAAACTTCTTAACTATGCAAGTTTATGATCCCAGCAAAAGGTGGCATTTCTCATTAACACACATTTTTAGTAGTAAAACAATTTATTACTTAATAGATTGTAACTGAATTTTATTATTATTGTTTTAATTTACTTTCTTAATCTTATTGCTTTCTTAGCCATTTTGAGGGCACTTTTTATAGTTGCGAATAGGGATATAAATGATCACACAAAGCAAAAGCAAAAGTAAAAAACAAAAGCCAAGATATTGTACCACTTTTTCCTGACTAGACTTATTCCAACTGTTATCTTCAAAATGTTATCTTAGGGCATCGGTATACATTTCCTATTATTCTGTAGCAGAAGAGGAAGATCTGTTTTAAGTCTGATGAACTCTGTTTGGAGTTCCTGTCTTGAACTTGAAAGGGTTTGGATTTGAAATGTTTTATACACCATTACCACCTTGTCTTTCTAAGTGTTGGGTAAAAGGGAAAACGATCCTTGGTTTCTTTGCAGATATAATTACTTTAGAGCATGGTTTTCTGCAAAATTCTTGCTTAAAAACTGTAAAAGACTGTACACAAGCACACATGCTTTGCTTAGTTACAGAATAACTAACAGATGCAAGCCGAAATAAACTGTGGCCAAACATGCACAACTGACTCTGTGTTAACCCACAATCCACCTACACAGCCACAGCATCTCCTGCCAATTATTTGACTCAAGGTTTTAATAATCACTTTTCCCTTGAAATGAGCAGGATTTGCAGATAATTATGCAGCGCATGCATATTATCACATTCACTGTTGTACTTATATTTTGGGGCTCTCATAACATATGTGTGAGATTGCCAGTGTTTGCATATGAATGCTGATGTATTCTAAGTCTGGGATTTGTATTTTAATAAATAGTAACAAGAGTCTAAATTTACTCATCATAGAAAGAAAAAAAATCCTTCCCAATTAAAAAGTATTCCTATCTAAACCAATTTGTACGTGATAACATGTGTCTTTTTGAAAGTGTTGCTTATTAATCATACAAACTTTTTGTTTTGGCCATTTAACTGTTCTGGTAAAATAAGATTGTGTGAATGTTTATTTGAAGGAAATCATATTTTTACTTTATTCTGAGTCAGAATTCTACATAATTGCATTCTGAGTCATAATTCTAACCTCACCATTATATACTTTAACACTACCACTAAGTACACAATAGGAATTAAAACTCATTTAAAAAGTAATCTGAGTTATGATAGCACTTATGATAACAGTTTCATTTTCAAGCTAGATATGACTTTTTTTAAACATAGGTAGTTGGATGTCTATTTTACATAGGTATGTCCATTTTACAATTTCTACAATGATACACATATCTTTTCATATCTTTTGTATATTAAATAGATATGCAAACATTTATTTAGAGCAAGTGAAAAAAGGTACCTCCAGAAGTTGTGGGTGTCTCATACTGGAGGTTTTTAACTCCTGCGCGAGCTGCACTGGCTCCCAGTGATCTTCCGGGTGCGATTCAAGGTGTTGGTCACCACCTTTAAAGCGCTCCATGGCATAGGACCCGGGTACCTTCGAGACCGACTTCTGCCACCAATAGCCTCCCACCGGCCAGTTCGCTCCCACAGAGAGGGTCTCCTCAGGGTGCCATCGGCCAAGTTATGTCGGTTGGCGACACCCAGGGGGAGGGCCTTCTCTGTGGGAGCCCCAGCCCTGTGGAATGAACTGCCCCCGGAAGTGCATAAGTTCTCCAACCTCCGGGCATTTTGCTGTGCACTCAAACCATGTTGTTCCACTAGGCCGGGCAACATAATAATTTTAAATTGGGTGTTTTAAATTTCTGGGGTTTTAAATTGAGCCGAATTATTTAATAATTTTAAATAATTTTAATTGATGTTTGTCTTGTGCTTTTAATAGGCTGTACAGCATCCTGAGTCCTTCAGGAGAAGGGCAGTATAGAAATAAAATTATTCTTATTCTTCTTATTCTTATTCTTGAGAAGATATTGGACAATCATTTGTCTGAAAAATGATATAGGGTCTCCTACTTGAGTTGAGGGTTTCTCCAAGATCCCTTCCAACTCTGTTATTCTGTTAATTATAATTGTTAAAGGAGAGCTTATACCATTTCTAGATTTCATATTAATTTTGTACTTTTATTACTCATTTCCTTTGTTTTTCTGCACATAATTGCTATATTGAGAAGAGAGAGTGTGTTATAAAAAATGAAATCATATGAAAGTTTGTGAGAATGAATTTTTATGAATGAAATGCCTCAAAATAGCAAAGCCTTTGTGTAAGGGAATGTAGGATCAGTCTAATTACACGTTTCTCTTCGTTCCTTATCTTTTTCAATACCTTGCCAGAGTAGTATAGAGTGGCATATTAGGGTGAAATCTAGTGGAACAAAATTATTTTCTTATGCAATATATGAAAAAAACATTTCAGTGAAAACATAATCAACATTAAAATTGATTTAATTAATTTTAAACATTAAAATCAACCTTTGTATTAAAATTAAATTCAGCTCCATCTGACAGTTAAATCTCAATATGAACTTTTAATGGCTAGTAAAGCAGTAAAAATAAAGCATTTTTATGGGGCTAACATATATTTTTGAGAACTAGTTTGGTGTAAAAATTAAAATACTGGACTAGAAACCAGTAGTTCATCCCACCTTAGGCACGAACCAACTTTGTGGCTTTAGGTATATTTGCCTTAGGAAGGAAGCAATGACAAATCTTACCAAGAAAACTACAGGGACCTATCAATGACTCGAAGGCTGGTGCTCTCCCTCTACCCTCTCTCTCCCCCCCTCTCCCTCTCTCCCTCTCTCTCTCTCCCTCTCTCTCCCTCTTCCTCCCTCTCTCCCCCTCCCCCTCTCTCTTCTCTCTCTTCTCTGTCACCTATGTATCATCAATATTTTTATCACCTATTCTAATAGCAAAGAATAAACTTTGCAAACTCAATAGCCAGTCTTAGAACATTCAATTAAAGCAGAGCTGCCATATTTCAGTGAATGTGTTTGATTTTCTGTTAATCAAAACTTTGCTGCTTTTGTGAGATCTTTACACACATTGGTGTACTACTTTAAACAATGGACAGACAATTTTTTTTTTTGCTTTAATTTATATGCTGCCCTTCTCCGGAGACTCAGGGCGGCTTACAATGCATTAAGCAATAGCCTCCATACTTTTGTATATTTATACAAAGTCAGCTTATTGCCCCCACAATCTGGGTCCTCATTTCACCTACCTTTGAAAGGATGGAAGGCTGAGTCAACCTTGAGCCTGGTGAGATTTGAACTTGCAGTAATTGCAAGCAGCAGATGTTAATAACAGTTAATAACAGTGCTTTAGTCCACTGTACTACAGGCTCTTTCCTGTATTGCCAGTTAAACAATCCCAGGTTTAAAAGAGGTTGTGCTGAACTTATAGACTGAACTTATCTTTCTGGTAAAACCCAGATGTGAGATATTTTACTTACAAAGTAGTTTGTATAATGTTCCTGGGGCATAGTACACATGAATAAAAACCCTACATATGATTTACTTCTCCCCGGCATAATTTCATACAATTTTTAATCATTCTGCATACTATGAGGCGAAGATTTTAGGTATGATAGAATAACATTTTATTGCTTTAGGAGTAAACAAGGTATGAATTATGCCCAATTGTTTAACTCAAACTAAGTCTGCCTTGGCTAGTTTACAGTTTAACCTTAAACAAAGATCTACCACTTCTACAAACATATGTCTTTTTAACTGGTTCTTAAGTTAAATCCTTAGCTGATGAATCCTATATTCATAACCACTGACAGATTACATATAAAAGAACACAAAGACACTTTATTAACTGGAAGAGCAGACATCCAGAGATACCATATTTAAAACAAGCAAATAAAAAGCATGAGACTTTTAATAGTGTGTTTGTGTATACATGTCTATGTCTATGTATACCCATACACAGAGACATACTTTCACATTTCTCACTTTTTTGTAGATTCGCTCATATAATTATCCTGTATAAGACTCACAACCATAGTTGTGAATGCCTATGAATAAAGGTGAATTTCATAGATATTCCTATAAAAAAAGAGTATTTGCAAACCTTGGAAGTTTGGTTGCTCTTACCCAAATATTTCCACTTGTATTTCTTCATTAGTACATCTGTGGCGTATATCATACGTATCTGAAATATCATGAATTGCAGATAGTTTTGCAAAATAAATCTTTCCTGCTACATTTGCACAACATGTGCCTGTTTCTTTACTAATAGGGATCAAATCAGAGGTGGGTTTCAGCAGGTTCTGACCAGTTCTGGAGAACCGGTAGCAGAAATTTTTAGTAGTTCGGAGAACTGGTAGTAAAAATTCCGACCGCCCCGCCCCCATCTATTCTCTGCCTCCCAAGTCCCAGCTGAATGGGAGGAAATGGGGATTTTGCAGTAACCTTCCCCTGGATTGGGGAGGGAATGGGATTTTACAGTATCCTTCTGTAAAGTAGCCATGCCCACCAAGCCATGCCATGCCCACCAAGCCACGCCCACAGAACTGGTAGTAAAAATTTTTGAAATCTACCACTGGATTGAATACATTATTTCATTGAAGCACATATTGTTTACGATAGTTAATAGATTTGTAACTTATTTGTATAAACGTTAAAAAAAACTCTGAACCAAGCAATCTGGTTAAATCTGAGAGGTAGAGAATACAGTAAGTCATTTAAAGATAAATAGATTTTCAGGGTTAAGATTAGGGTTAGTTAGGGTTAGAGAAAACTGATTTCTCACCATAAACGTTGCTGTACACAAAATTGCATGGGACAGAGGATTTAGCCACATTCTGAATGACTGAATGCACTAAATACCATTTTAGATTTTTCCGGGTTAGGCACTAAATTAAACAACTATAGATATTGTGTTAGAAAAAACTATATCTTGTATTAAAATGAGGCTTGTGAAGGATGCTAGGAACAACAACAAAAGTTTGTTTTGACGTGTCCAGAATAAAAGGAACATGTTGGTATACCATTTTTTTCAGTGAAAATGGTGAAATGTTAACAAGTAACAAAGAAAATACAGCACTACAAGAAGTCCTATTTTGGCTCAGTATTCCCCAGCAAGAGGTATGTATCACACAATACATACAATTGTCAAAAGCAGAATGAAGGAGTAAGATGGAACCTTGAGAGTCACAGTAACATAGCAATTTTGAATGTGTTTAAACCTCCAGAGTTGGATAAATCTGCAGAGTTGGATGAACCTCCTAGGGTCTGGCTGAATGGTCTGGCTGAAATATTATGTATTATCTTTGAGACACCCTGGAGAATGACAAAGTGTGCTTCACACTCGAAGGAGGCCAAATATTGTCCCTGTCTTCAAAAAGGGGGAAAGGGAAGATCTAAGAGGCTACAGACAAGTAATTTACTTGATCATTTACAGATCAATCAAAAAGAGATTAATCTGTAAAACCCCAGAAAATAATGCAGCTATTAACAGAAATCACCATGAATTTGTCAGAAACAAGTTTTACTAGATTAACCTTATCTCATCTTTTTTTAATTGGTTAACTTCCTTGGAAGAATGTCAAATAGTTTGCTGAAATCAAGATATATTATGTCTAAAGTACACCCACAAAGTACTCCATGACATTCTGATTAGATAGCTAATTAAGTGTGGACTGGATGATATGACAAGAAATGGGATACATAGTTGGCTTAAAAACCATACCCAAATATTTATCCATCGGAGTGCATAGTTTAACACCATAATTCTATGATAAGCCCTTTCAATGTAATATTGAAATGAATTGCCTGTTTTCCTTTTTCTGCATTCTATTTTTACAATCTTAAGAACTTTTAATCTTGCTTGTGAAAACATGTCTAAATTGTCTAGTTATTATAAAAATATGAACTAAACAAAGTAATTACCCATCCCTAATCTGTCTCAGATCCCACTGAGGAATAATAGAAGGAACTACACAAT